TATTGGCAGTAATTTGATCCCTAGTTTGTTGAACTTGCAACAGTGGCAAGTCGAGAGCCTCGACTAATTTCAAGCTGATGTAGCCGTTTAAGTGATTTTCGATCCAACACAGCAACTAAGTTGCGAACAGTCAGGGAAAACTTCTTTGAATCATATCAGTGAGGAAAAAACCACGTCCAAAAAACCTATGCAGAAAATCCCCTCTGATTTACAAGCGGAGAACCGCTAAGAAATCATTAGAGTGTTTCTCTGAATCATTTCATTAGAAATTTTAGCATTTATATATGTGCATGAGGGATGTCGTTGATGTGCTTGCTGCCTTTGACTCAAGCCATAAACATGTTTCATTTGAAACGTTTGTTGACTGAAACATTCCGAGGAAAGAAACGTCAAGAGTAATGAACTGATGAGGGGCGCATGCTGTGACAGATATATCATTACGAATGCAAATAGTGATCTCCGTCGTGAACTTTTCCTATCTCTCACCAGAATGCTTGCTTTCATTCGAAAACACTCAATGCGAACTGATGTATCTGACATAAAAACCCATCAAACACTCGCTTAGCTCTTCCTTGTTCCACTTTGCATTATTTGCAGCCAACATACGAATATTTTCCTCAAAAATTTGCATTCATGCCGTCGAATATCTTCGCTAAAATCGGTTCACTGAAACGATAATCGTTGAAAATCTGTCAGATAGTAAACGATTCGAGGGGGATGAAAAATGTTGCATTATCGAGAAAGCGTTGTTGACGTTAATCACCGAAGAGCATCGTCAACAACGAATTTATAAAGAAGAAATTATGATAATGATGATGTTTGTTTTGTTTTGGATGTGGGAATGAATTCATTTGGGATTCGATGGATCCAACGTTGGATCGAATGCTGAAACTATGCGATTAAAATGAGTTATTAGCATTATTTGCATGCTCCATTGACGAATGTGTTTCAGTCTATTTCATGTGATTAAACGCCCGTTGCTAAAACAACAACATTCACTTCAAATCAACCAAATAACAAGCATTCCTTAAATCATCGATTAACGCTCAGTTATTATCTAATATTACCAATGGGATATTATTGCTATGCAGCATTGGTCAAAACGAAACAAAAACACATATTAATCAGCAAATATGTCAATCCTCATTTGGCATGACCCGTTTCTGCCATCAAAATTATTGGCCAACTGACCAGATTCTCTGCTTTAACACCTCGTAACTGCACTAAACTTGCTGAAGGGTAAAAACTGTTGAAATTTTCATCTCATTGAAATCACAATCTGTCCTTGCAAACGATTGACCGTTCGATTGTAATTGTTTGTCTCAGTCACGTCCATATTGCTCCTCTCAATACAGTAATGACATTTGTCAGATTATCAACTTGTTGCTACTTTATCCAGTCTGAGATTTCAACCAATCCGAGATTATGAGTTAAGATGTCCAAAGCCTTCCTCGCATATCATCATGTCTCTTCATGAGCATCGTCCATCAATGATTTCGTAGCGCTAACATATATTTGAAAACATGAAAACATCCGCAAATTGCAAATTTTAGTAATGAATATAAGCTGAGCAATTCATTTGTGACGGTCACAATTGTGATCGGTGTGTTACAAACTGCAGCAGTAAGCTGCTTCACATGAACAAGTACGAAATTCTTTACTTTGACATTTCAGTGCCAAGTGGTCAGCGAGAGGCAGAAGTTGATGGCCGACCAGATCAAGATTCGACGTCGACAACGAAAAGACACCTTGATGAATATAACACGTGAGAATATCACTGCTACACTGAACGCTGCAGCCGTTGTGGCAGCCGCTGGACCAATACCGT